CATTCCAGTCATTTCCATGCTAATTAAATGAACACTATAGGGTCAGGAACACAAACCTGTATTCCTGACCATATAGTGTTAACACCACCATTTAGCCCCACTGGGCCCATCACACCTCCATAAATATAGCTACATTTTACTGTATTCAAGCCTGAAGCTGTAACTCTGCATGCTGTTTGCCTAAAAAAAAAAAAAAAAACTGTCTGCTGACATCATCAGAAGTTGTAGCCTGATCTAATCACAATGCTTCCCCATAGGATTGGCTGGGACTGACAAGGAGGCAGATCAGGGGCAGAGCCAGCATGATTCAAACACAGCCCTGGCCAATCAGCATCTCCTCATAGAGATGAATTGAATCAATGAATCTCTATGAGGAAAGTTCAGTGTCTGCATGCAGAGGGAGGAGACACAGTGCTGCCCTGTGCTCTGCTGACAGCAGATCTGAGTGGATTGAGGAGTTTTATGCCTCAATCAACTTGGAAGTCCCTCTGGTTCACTCTGAGTGACTGCAACTGGAGGTGTTCCTAGCTTTCAATGTAAACATTGTATTTTCTCAGAAAATACAGTGTTTACATGAGAGAGGCTGCAAGGAGCTATAGTTCTCACCTGAACAACCTCATTAAACTGAAGTTGTTCAGGTGACTATAGTGTCCCTTTAACAGCTAACTTTACAACCATCTTCTACCATAAAATCACAATAGTAATAAATTCTAAATATAATACACATCAGTTTCCCCAGTGATGGCTAGCAAACCAGGCACACCATAGTCGCCCAATGAATCTCAATGACGTGGTCTGGTGCAGTGACCCTTTCGTTTTGAAACTGCAATGTAAACATTAGATGTTTTTTTCTTTTTAGAAAATGCAGTTGAAAAATTGTTTTTTTTTTTAAATTCTTTATTTTGATTGTGCAAAAAACAATGCAGACATATTAGATATAGGCAAGTCTGCGGCAACAGTAGGTAAAAAACTAGAAATGAACAATACCTATCAAAAGGCCTAGCACATTATATATTTTGTACGAAGAGTAAAAATAACAGGCCGTAAAGCAATTTATATTGCACATAAACTTGTTGGAGCATCAATGTTCAGTATGCTAGACGCACAATCTGAATATTGGTAACTGCGTCTAGACGAGACGAGTAGTCACCTAACCACGTTTAACTCCCCTGTTGGACAATGGCACTTTACAAGAGTTCCTTTTTGGGGTAGCATCTGCTCAGGACATATTCCAGAAAAAAATCAAATGAGCTCATTCGGGTCTGCGGGGTGTGGAAGTTATAATTGATGATTTGTTGGTCTATGGCAAAGACCATGTAGAGCATGACCATAACCTAATTGCACTTCTTGAGCGATGTCGTGAGAAAAATTTGAAACTAAACCCAAACAAACTTCAGGTTGGAATTGAGGAGGTGACATACTTTGGGCACATCATCAGTAATGAAGGATTGAAACCTGATCCCAACAAAATATAAGCCATTACCAAAATGCAAGCACCAACCATCACTGGGTATTTTCAAGTATCTGTCAAAGTTCTCACAGGGCTTAGCGCAGCAAATGGCACCCATACGATCCCTGCTTCAGAAAAATGCATGCTGGTCTTGGGATATGAATATGCAGAAAACATTTGAGAAAATAAAATCAACAATCAGTAAACAGTCTGAACCATTTTTAAAAATGTTTTTTAATGTGAATTGCGACACTGTCCTTCAAGTAGACGCATCGCAAGCTGGGTTGGGTACAGTACAGCTACAAAGAGGTCATCCAGTAACCTATGCTTCATGGGCAGTCACAACAGCCCAACCCAACTATGCCCAAATTGAAAAGGAAATGCTAGCCATTGTAAATTGGTGTGAAAAATTTCATCAGTGCATCTACAGGCGTCCGCTATTAGTGGAAACTGATCACAAGCCTTTAGAACATATAATGCTGAAACCACTAGACTCGGTTCCTCCACTCCACCAGAGAATGGTAATGAAACTACAACCATATGATCTCACTGTAAAATACAAGCCAGGGAAGGAAATCCCTAAGGCAGACACACTATCCAGGGGGTTCCCAGCTGGACATGAAGTACAGGAGGAACCGGATCTGGAATTGTGGCCATGGGAACATGTACCAGTATCAGATCTCAGACTGGAAAAAATAAGATGGGAAACAATGCAGGACAAACAACTAGAAAAATTGTCCCGTCATGTGCAGTGGCTGGCCAGAGAAACGCAAGAAGCTGCCACCAGAGCTACAGGCATTCTGGCCTGTGAGACATGAATTGTCGAATAACGAGGGCTTTATCTTTATGGCTGAATGGATACTCATACCAAAAATGTCAACAGTAGCTGGTTTTGGAACAAATTCACCAAGGACATTAAGGCATTGATCTGTGCAAACGAAGGGCACGTGAATTGGTGTACTGGCCTAACAAAGGCTCTGATATTGAAAGATTTGTGAACGTTTGTGATAAATGCAGTGAATTTTAAAGGCAGAACACAAGAACCGTTCATCCCTTGGAGTATCCCTTCTCGTGCATGGCAAAGGCAAGCCACTGACATTTTTCATAATGAAGAGGAAAAACTACCTGATCATTGTTGACTATTACAGCAAATATTTTGAAATTGTACAGCTAAAGGACCTGAAATTGTCCACTATCATATTGGTTTTCAAATCAATACTCGCCAGGCATGGTGTGTGAGGAACTAGTCTCAGACAATGGTCGACAATTTTCAAGTGATGAGTTTCAATACTTCATGAGGGAATGAGGCATCAAGCATAAGCCTCTTAGTCCATATCTACCAACGGGCTGGCTGAAAAATATGTTGGCATCGCCAAATTCATTCTATTGAAGGCACAGTCATCCGGGCAAGATGTTCATTATGGTCTACTAAACTATCGTGCACTTCACTAGAAGGATTATGTTCTCCTGCACAGCTGCTTATGGGCAGAGCACTGAGAATTACAGTGCCCATTTCTCCAAATAAACTTCAGCCAAAGAGTTTTACACATGAGCTTGTTGCAGCTCAACGAGACAAAAACATTTCAAAACAAAAACAATACAACACACCACATTCTGCACATATGCATCAGTTTCCAATGCTCCTGTATGAGGAACATTGGAATCGACACCAGTGAGAGAGCCAGGCGGCATCCGGGGAAGCAACTGCTGTGCTGAGGGAATCTTCCTAATGCTGTAGTGTTCCTCTAATTTACCTGGAAATATATGGAACTTAGATGTTCCCTTTGCCCAGTAACCCCTGTATGGGGCGGTAATGAGGGTTACCTCATGCCAAGCCCTGAAAGAATGGCTTTTGCCTCTTTGAGGAGGGGATATTTGACCTTCTGCTCTGATTTTCTTATAGTCCAAAGAAAAGGCTGTTTTGAGGTGGAATTTCATTCACTCTCTTGAGAGCCCGTTCATAAACTCTAAATCTAACAATCTGGTCCCTTAAAACACTATGCCAGTATTGATTGTATTTTTATTTTTAATTTTTTTTGTATTTTTGTACTTTTGTACTCGTGTACTTGTAATGTGCAGTCCTTCAAATGCTAAATGAGTGAGAGATCCCATTTTGATGTATTATATTATTGGTCCATAACATGTTAAACATTTGCAGTAATCCAGCTATTTTGTTGGAAAATGATTGGCAGTGAAGAATATCTGCCATCTGGATATTTCTACAGATGTGGGGGATGGAAGTACAAAAATATAATTTTAAGTTTAATCGCTTCCTAATTGTCCGTCTATAAAGTAGCTGTATTGAATCAGTAAGACTTGTTTTGATGCAGTACAAGGTCATAGATAATTGTCAGTGGATCTTTATCTGTTGAAATCATTGTTCAAGAAAGTGCTTTTTCTGCAGTTTTGTTGGTAATTAGGCAGGGGAGGGCTGGCAGCCTTAGGCCTTGGGGGCAAAACCAGTCAAGTGGCCCATTGCACCACCAAATCAGTGCAATGGTGTCCACCTTTTCCTGGTTTTATAACGGATATTGATGTTATGCTAATCAGTAGCTCTTTGCCATACCCGCTCCTTCACGGCTCTGACTTTCAATGTTGTCAGAGCGCAGGCTGAGAATCTCTGAGCCTGTGCTCTGACTCACTAACTGAGCACCGGAACCACGAGGGAGAGGCTATAATCTGACTGCACCTACTGCTGGTGCGCACCAGTGGACCACCAGCGAATCGTTTAAATTGAATAGGCTGGTGTCCCCAACTTGTGAGCTGTGTTGTCCGCTGGGCGCCTCTGTTGTGATGGCACCCTGCGTGACCGCACAGCGTGCACACCCCAACGGCTGGCCCTGCTGACACACACTGATGTTACTACTTAGAAATCCCTCAATATTAATACAGACATCAGAGTAAACACCAATAAACTGTGGAAACAAAGCTGATCCCACCCAAATTTATAAATATTTGCTTACTGGATTTGTTGTAAGATTAAATCATGCCTCCTCCTCTCTCTCTCCCATGCGCTGCTCTGTAAGCTGGGAGGAAGTGAAGAGTAATCACAATCTCCCAGCACAGTGGCACCTGTGGCTGCATGGGGAACAGCTGTATCTGCCGCCCCCCATGTAACATCACAATGCTCCACCTATATGAGCTGCCATACGAACTAACGCCAGTGCTGCCCACAGTGTGTGTTTACATTAAAAAGCCTGCAGGGACCGGCTATAGACACCAGAACCACTTCATTAAGCTCCAGTCGTTCTGGGGACTATAGTGTCCCTTTAATGTAATGTAAATGATAGATTATGGTCACTAATAATATACTAGATTGCATACTTACAACCAAATGAGGATGATGATGGGCTGCAGTTTGGCTCCACTGGTCTGGTGTAGAACAGGATCTCTGGAGACTGTTTGCAACTGTGGTCACAAAATTCAATGTTCTGGGAGAATTTGAAGCAGCTCCATTTTTTGGGGCCTCTTACATAGCTCAAGGTCTGGGCCCCAGGGCCTGACGGTGAATAAGCCCACCCATACGTCCACCTACATGTTCCACCCATGAGTTCGCTCACAGGGAGTGGAGTGTGTAGGGGATGTGTTATGTGTTATTGTAGAGGATCTAATATGTGTGCTTATGGTATGTAGTGTAGAGGGAAACCAGTTTGTGCAGGTGATGCAGTGTGTTTGTGTGTAGTGGAAGCAGTGTGTATTTGTGTATAAGGGATGTTTTGTGTGTTTCTGGTTGTGTGTAAGGGATGCATTGTGTGAATCTGTGTTTGTATGCATAAGGGATGCAAGGTGTGTGTCTGTAAGTGTGTGCATTGAGTGTGTGTTAGTGATGCATTGTGTTTCTGTGTAAGAAAAGCAGTGTGTGTGTAAGTGTTTGCATTATGTGTTTCTGTGTATGTGTGCAAAGGATGCATTGTCTTTGTGTGTAAGTGTTGCATTGTGTGTGTGTAACGGATGCATTGTGTGTTTCTCTGTGTGTAAGGGAAGCATGTTGTGTTTCTGTGTGTGTAGGGATGCATTGTGTGTTTCTGTGTATGTATAGGGATGCATTGTGTGTGTCTGTGTGTGTGTGTCCTCCCTGTGTCCTCCTCACCTCCCCCTCCCTGTGTTCTCCTCACCACCCACCCTCCCTGTGTTCTTCTCAGTCCCCCCTTCTCCTCATCTCCCCTTCTCCTCACTCTTATTCCCGCCCTCCTCCTTGTGTTCTTCTTACTCCCCCCTTGTTCTTCTTACCCCCCGTTTTTCATACCCCCTTCTTCTTACTCCCCCTCCTCCTCCTTCACTTACTCCCCCTCTCCTTCACTTACTCCCCCCCTCCTTCCCTTACTCCCCCCATCTTCACTTACTCCCCCCTCCTTCATTTACACCCCCCATCTTC